CGGCAGAGGACTGGAGGGAGCTGCGGGGGGTAGCTCGAGTGATGCATGAATGAAGGTTGCAGAGGTGGTGGTGGAGTCTCGGTAGTTGAAGAGAGTGGAAACGAGAGCGGGCATCCCTCGACGAACGAGGCGGTGAATCGTAGTCTTTCTTCCTTCCATCCCTCCCTCCTCATCCCCTTCTGTATTTCGCTTACCTCGGTTATCCTCTTCCTCCTCCTTCTCCTCCTCCTCCTTCTCCTTCTTCTCTGATCCAGGTCGTTTTCACACCGACACCCCTACGTCTACTACGATCCACTACGCGGATGCGCGGAGGGGAGGGAGGAATTGTGACGTAGTTTTGCCACCAGAATTCCATCAGATGCATTAATTGGCATTATTTCCGGCCGCGTGATCGTGAAGGAACTCGTCGAGGATTCCCGCGTTTCGTTTGATCACGCTTTTGCACGTCAATCTCGTGACCCGGTCCATTGACGGATAAACCTCCGCGTCGGATTGACGGGCGGTGGTGAATAATTGCGAATCGTATCGGCTTAATTAAAGGCCGTTTTACGCTCTCCCGGTGATTTATAACGGTATTTATCCTCGGTGAATCGCGACGAATAAAGGAGGAGAGAGGAGATCGATCGAGGCTTTAACGACGACACTTTCGATTGCCGGTTAACCGAGTAAGATCAAAAGGGTGAAATTGGACGGAACGATAAATAGGGAGGAACGATCTTTGTGGATAAGCTCTTCCTTCGTTTTTTTTAATCGACCTGTGGTGGAAGTACGCTATGCATTTTGTTCACCATCCTACTATGTTTATATAAAGTATAAATTATCGTTCGCTATGTATGTCGCGTGTATAACGCGTTGATACAAAACGAGCAACTCGAACTGCAACTCGTGTATCGATTTCCTTGTTTACGCAGAATTGCTTCATTCTGTAAAAAGCGAATAAAATTTTGTAACGCACGCGCCGCTCGACCGAGCATTAAACGGAGAAAAAATTCTTCGATATCCTGATTACATCACGAGTTTAACGAGAGCTCTCCTCTTGTTTCTTTTTTTTTTTTTTTTTCGAACCCAATATATCAAATTTTTATTACACACGAACAATCATCGAATCGAAACGATTAAATGTAAAAGATGTTAAACGATCGACGTTCTTCGCTACGAGTGTATTTATACGTATGCTCGCATCGCTTCGATAATTTCTCGAGGGTTAATAAACGACATTGCCAATGTTCCATTTCCATCCGTCAGTATCCAAGGTCCGTTTTAACCCGCGTCTCATCGATAATTCAAACGAGATCGTCGGTGCCAAGACACGCGTCGCGCGCGACCACTAACTGAACTCGACATATGAACGGAAACGGGCCAGGAGAGCGCCAAACGCGGAAAAGAGACGGCCACGGAAGATGGAAATAAACCCGACGGTTGTGAAGTAGAAGGTGTCGAAACGTAACGAGCTATCGAGGGCGAAGGGTGCAACGGAAACGAGGTGTTTCCTTCGGAGGAGGAAAGAGAAAAGGACGAGGAAAGGATGAAAAAGAAAGAAAAGGAGAGAGAGAGAGCGAGCGAGAGCGAGAGAGTGGGAGAAAGAGAGAGAGAGAAAGAGAGAGAGCAAAAGAAAAGAGGAAGAGAAAAGATGATCCGGTATATAACAGTGTGTTGGATCGGGTCGGGTTAGATTGGGTTGGCTTGCGTGGGGTTAGATATCCGGGTGGAGGGAGATGGTGATCGGTAGGTGGTGTGCTGACGTCATTACAGCGGCATCATCAGCCGCGTGGGCCAATAGGGACGCTCACTCGAGCCAGGTCCATCGATCCGCCGGCTGCTGTCGTGTGTGTGTTTATGACGTCCAAAGGTGACGTCATCGTTAGCGCCGTTCGCCGCCGCCGTCGCTATACACGCTACGGTTTTAATATAGCGGAGGAACGCGCGCGATCCAGACTCAGTTACGCGGCGGCCGGCCACCCGTGCGAGAGCGTATCGTTTTCTT